TAGACTTGAACACGTGGGCGGCCACATGCGGTCTTTGGACGCGTTGTATGTGTGACGCGCATGGGTTTCGGGTTGGGTTTTTAAACCCAAGTTCTAGTGTGCCATTTATGTCGGGCCGGTTCTTGCCCTTTATGTTTGGGCTTTTAGGTTATGTAAGTTTTCTGGACTTTGATCTATTTAATAAAATAAATAGAAGGCAAAAAAAAAAAAACTAGTATAATACTGAGTTGAAAAATATTTCAATCGTAATTCTTGTTGGAAAACTTGTCAAATTGCGGTTATGTGATTTACTTTTGCTTTAAGTCAGTTATTTCTGTCTTTATGTCTAGCTTCTGGTTTTTAAAATAAAAGTGTTTAGAATAAAATTTAAGCGTTTGAATCCGTCTCCCATAACTAGGGATGGCAATCAAAGACCTGGACCGCGGGCCTGACTCGTAAAGATTTGCTGCAGGGCGGGATTGGGTCTTCATTTGATAAGCCCGCAAAATTGCGGGCCTCGCGGGACAGGCTCAAAACGGAACGGGCCGAATGCGGGACATGCTCAAAACGGGACGGGTCGAATGCGGGACAGGTTAACCCGTGGGACTTTGAAGACCCACAACCATAAGTCCCTATTTCTGTTTGGTTTTGTTTTCAGTACTATAACTTGCCTTATTACTATGTGGAATTTTCTTGTTTAATTGATGAGTTTTGTTTTCAGTATTGCCAAGTGGTGTTTTTAAAAAAAAATTAAATTTTGTTACAATGATGTTGTTAAAGAGTTACTGCTTGTTGAAGAGCTACTATTTGTTCTTTAAACAGCTCGAAATGAGAGTTTGGGTTACTGCAGAATCTTGTCTTTACACTCTAAGTTCAACAGCTTGGTTGAAAGAGAAAAAGAAACTATTAGTATTAAGTTATTGTTGCTATGAAGAGACGTTTTTCTACAAAGAATCAAACAAGGAATATTCTTGAAAGAGTTAAATTTACTGTCCAAATGGCTCTCACTTACTTCAAGACCATTAAACCATCGAGTGATCACATTGGATGTTGTTGCGATCGATGTTGTTCAGCTCTCTTCAACTTCTTTACACAACTCTTCTACTTTAACATTCATGAAGGAAGCTGAAGAAGATGTCCCGCGGGATGGTCCGCGAAGACATAAATTATGCGGTACGGGATTGGGTAGCCATTTGGAAGACCGCAGCCCGCGCATGACAAACCCGCCATGACCCGCTCAACGATGAACCCGCTGCGGTATGGGACGGAACGGGACGAGAAAGCCCAATTGCCATCTCTACCCATAACCTTAGTGCGGTATTCTCTTGATTTCTTATCTCTTGCTATGTGTTGAGGTTATCAGAACATCTCAAAAAATTATATTTTGAAGTTTTCAAAATTCTATATTTAAAGTTTCAACGTATTTTTCTTAAAAACAAAATTTTAAATTTAACTTTAAAATCATTTATATTTTATATTATGGTCCTTATATTTGTCATATTAATATTATAAAATATTATAAATAAAAACACATATATAAAAGTTATGCATCAATATTAGAGGATAAAATCTTACACTAAAATATAAAATTATAAATAAAAATGCATAATTAAATATTAAATACAATCAAAGTATCACATTTTGTTGTCTAATTTTAGTTTTAAAATATTTTAAGTACTGAACTACAAGCACATATTTTGAAATTTTATTTTAATTTTTATTTAGTTTTATGTATAAAACTATAGAAATGTTAAAACTAATTTGAAATATTCGTGAGATATAAAAAAATTAAGGATTAAAACAATAAAGGAAAAAATATTCATAAATTATAAATTTTACTTGTAATTGTAAAAACCAAAATGTAATTAAAAAGATGATGTTCCTACTTTGAAATTTTAAGAAATGAAATTTCATCCTAAAAACTTAAATTTGAAGTTTTGAAATTCCTTTCTAGAGAATAAAAATTCTATATTTGAAGTTATATAGTTTTTTTTAGATGCTTAGTTAGTTGTGTTTTTCTCTATTGTTATTTGTTGTTGTAGTAGTTATTTTTTTACATTATCTGCTACTTGTACCCTCTGTATTTTTGTCACAAATTTAGATAGTATCAAATTCATCATTCCTAACAAAAAGTCAGTTTTTTGTTCTTGATGAAACTTGTAGCTAACATTTCCCTGATTTTGTTTTGTTTCTTTTTCTTGGCAGAAGAAACAAGAGACATGAACCGATATGATCCGTTACCTTTTTTTGAGAATGGTAAGTTACAAACTAACTTCAAGAAGAAGAAAAATACATATCAAACATGTATATATGCAAAACAGCAATGGCGTATACGACTTTCTCATACTTTTTGAACAAAAGGACTTCCTCATAAATAGTAAATAGTATGTAATCTCATGATTTTAAATTACCCATTTCAACAACAAAAATAGTATTTTCTCATTTGAAGATTAAATTAAACGGGTGAAAATCCAGGAACACGTTCTTTCGAGAGTTATAAGCTGGCAAGTAACAACAAAAAATAGTTTAACTCCAAAAAATAACTTGAAGCTGTACGCAGAATGGATTAATTGACAATGTTTTGTTAGTGTGAACTGTGAAGTACTGTCCAAGAGAAACAATATCTCTATAATATTATTTGAGAAGTCACTTTCTTATGTGTCGCGCTCACGTTAACTTTCATGATGGTTGATTACTATGATACCCCTACTGAATTAAAAAAATATATTTAAATATTATTATTTCCTTTTCAAAAGTTTCCAAATAACATGATAAAATAAAAAGGAAACATTTATAAAGTTTACAAAACTATTTAAAACGAAAATATAAGTATATAGCAATATGGTTTCACAAAAAAAAAAGTTCACAAAATAGTAATATTTAATTTAAATATATTTTAAATAACATCAAAAATATACTTTTGAAGTAATAAAATACTTCATATATATATATATCTTCTTAGATGAAAAAACAATATTGTATATAGTGTGATTCCATAAAAACTTTTCACACAACTAATCTTCATATTAGAAAAATAAATATTTTTTTCTTTAAAAAAATAATTTCAAACAATAATATATATATATATATTCAAAGTAATTATTTTTTGGTATATATCTATCTATTTTATTATATGATTACATAAAATAATGAAGTAACATAAACTGATATATGTTTAATTGATTTTTTATAGTTTGTATTCTTGAAATATATATATATTTTTTATTTTTTAGTATATTTATTTGACTATAATATCTCACAATACAACAAAACATATAAATTCTATTTTACTTATATAATATAATTTCTCAAAAATTTTAAAAATTTTTACTTCATATTTTAACAGATATTAAAAACAAAACTAAAAATAAATTTTAATAATAAACATTTTTTGATTAAATAACTACAATTATATTAAAATATCATAACACTATATAATTTAACGAAGTATATAATATATTTTAATTCTTAAAATTATATGTTTTCTTAATAACTATTTTGATTTTTAATTTCTGTTTTTATGTTTGTGGAACTTAATATAGCCATAATATATATACTTAAGAAAATCAGAATCCTTATTTTTAAAATTATTTAAAATAAATTTCAGTTTTCCATCCAATCAATCTAAATATTGTAAATATTGATATGTGTTCATAAGCTTCCAAAAATGTATTTAGTTACTTATGTATGTAATTTAGAATCAGACAGTTTAGTTTTTATTATTTTTGTTTCTAAGCACAAAAAATCTTAAGTTATACATAATCTTACTAGATATACTTATATTTCTAAGATAACAACCGGCATAAATTCAAATAAGACAATTAATCAAAATATTAATATATTTAGGATAAAAAGATTATAGTTGAATTCAAAGAAATATGCAGAATCTAATATATTCAAATGATAACTAAATCAACCGTAAAAACAATAAAATTGATAAAAAATAACATATCTAAAATTATACATATAATTAAATTAATATAATTTTATTAATATAAATTATACTTACAAATTATAAACTAATTTAAAAATTAAAGTAAATATGAATAAATTATTATAATATCTTTATTTTATAAATATTTATGTCCGTACGGGAAAATCACCTAGTAAGTAAATAATAAGCACACGAGAGAAAGCACGAGTGGGGAGCTTTGTGCAGAGTGTTTCCATTGGGTACAGAATATATTAAAAACAAAATATTAATTAACAATTCGAGTGTCGAACGGCTAAAATGACGAGTGATGATGAAATCCTCAACGGTTCTGGTTCTCCGCGCCGCTTGCACCGACCAACCTCGTAAGTTTCCAAATGGTCGAGGCATATTATATTTCATAATATTCTCTGTCCATGCGTTCTTTTGTCATCTTTTTAACACAGTTATTTTTGCATTTTGTACTAAATTTTATTATTAAAAGTATATTTTTGTGAGTGAAGTTATTTAATCTTTTTTTTTTTGAAAATTGGATTTATTCATTTGTATGGTGGCAACACAAAAAAAACACAAGTGTATTCAAAATATATTAAAGTAAAATTTTTACTTCTTTTATCTTTTACAACTAACATAAACCATTATCTTAGATTTAGATATACCTTTTTTGTTAAAGATTTGGATATATTTATATCCAAAAGAAAACATAATCTAATAAATTTTATTTAAATATGACTCTTTCACACACATACACATATAAAATTTTGTAACTAGAAAACTAATCTAGGTACCGTATATATATAAAATTTAATAATTAAGTAAACGAATACTTCAATAAAAAAAAAACAAAATGGTATGAATATGCCAATACGACACTTGTAATATCCTCTCCGCAAAAGGTAACCTCTTTAAATCCTTCGCGTTCGTGGCACTTCATTTACTTTAATTTAACTAAAACATCAAGGGTATTTACGTAATCTTACTCTGACGGAAACTAGAAGTTAAAGAGATAGAGAGAGAAGTCCCTTATCCATTTCATCCAATCCCCAAAACCTGTATATAAGCAAAGCCTCCCTCAAGCATATTTCTTCTCACAGCAAACCAACAATTCAAAAATAATAATCAAAAAATTAAATATAAATTCCAAATTCTTAAATCTCAATTTCTTCTTCGATGGCGACGGGGAAAAGCTACTACGCACGGCCAAGCCACCGTCTCCTCGGCACCGATCAGTCCTACTACGCCGCCAACGATTCATCCTTCGAGTTCGACGAATCCGATCTCTACTCCTCAGCCGCTTCCGATTCCCCCGATTTCCGCCGGAAAATCTCCAAACCAGGCAGATCCGGGAAGAAACCGTCTAACCGACCATCCTCCGCCGTAGCGGCGTCGTCTCTCCCGATGAACGTCCCCGACTGGTCGAAGATTCTCCGGGAGGAGCATCGCGGTAACCGTCGGAGAAGCGTCGTCGACGACGACGGAGATTGGTTGGACGCCAGCGGAGGGAGGTTGCCGCCGCACGAGTTTCTGGCGAAGACGAGGATGGCGTCGTTCTCGGTGCACGAAGGAGTAGGGAGGACGTTGAAAGGGAGGGATCTGAGTAGGGTCAGAAATGCAATTTTTGAGAAGATTGGGTTCCAAGATTAAATATCTGGGAAAGTTATTAAGTAACTGTAAGAGAGAGAGAGATGGAGAGCATTTAATATTTCTTGAAATGCCCCTCGATTTATCGTCTATTCCGAGAATCTTACCCATGTAATTTTGTTTTAACATTTAAGATATCATCATATTTTGCGTATTGAGATGAGTAATGTATTATTAGATAATGTTTTTGGAAGAAAAAAAAAATCTGATCGTTTTATTTGATAAAGACAGTCATTTCAATTTAAAATTTGGTCCAAAAAATGCATTTTAAATTGTAAAACCCAGGGTTGGGAAATTTTGTTATTTAAATTAAATTAAGGGGTCAAAATGTATAAACCAGAAAACGGGGGGGGGGATAAATAGTTTCGGTTATTGGTGGGATGTTGAGTGTTTGATGTGGTGGGTAAGAAAAAGCAGAGGCTAAGAACACATGAAAGTGACATAGTTGCTTGAGAATTATTCTGTTAATTGTTTATTTAAACTTTCTAGTCTTTCAAAAGTATGGTTTCAACCAAATTCGTTCTCTTTGAGAGATTTCGAATATTTTACACGAAGTGATAGTATAAGTTCTTATTTAAATAGAAAAGGACTTGCTTATCAAAGTCCAGGAGACGTGAATGGTGTGGTAGGCGATTATAATTTATAAAAGACATGCACTTCATGTGAATTCTTGAAGATTATGCTTAATCTCCTCAATGTAAGAACTTTGTCATTATCCAAACACATTTCTAAAAAATCTATATTATTAAAAGATAAGTACCCATATAAAATACTCCATTCGTTTCAATTTAATTGTCATTCTAGAGTTTTGCACACAGATTAAGAAAACAATTAATTTTATATATTTTCAAAATAAAAACACAATTACCTATACACCTAACCACTTTTCAACCAATGAATAAATATAATGACATTTAAAATCAATAAATTTTGCATTAAAATTATAAAACGACACTTATTTTGAAACGAAAATTTTACTCTAGAATGACATATAATTTGAAACGGGAGTACCTCTTAGTTTTCACTATTATTTACAATAGCATGCCACTAAAGTAATTAAATGAACTTATATGTAAGTAATCATTGTCTTTTCCTATTTATTAAACAATTTACTAAATCAATTTTAGCTAAATTTTCGTGTTTAATATATTCCCTAAAATAAACTAGCTGATTTTTAGAAATATTCATATTTAAAATTGATTTTAACAATATTAAATTTGTATAATGTTACCATTAATTATTTTGAACAAAATTCAAGTTTAAATTCGTTATTAAAAAAATATTATGAATATTCCTAAAATATATGTTTAACTTAGCATTAATTATTTTGAACAATAAGATTTTAAATATATTTAAACTACTTATAAACAACATGAAATATTTGTAACTGAATATTATTTTACTATAATTAAATCTCACCTAAGATTATATATTTTTCAAGAATTTCTAAAATATATGTTTTACCATTTTGATTGCTATTAATTATTTTCAACAAGAAAAATTAATACTGAAATTGAAATATTGAATTACTTGTAAAACAATGTTTAATGTTTATAACCAAATATTCTTTTTTATAACGTATCTAAATCTTACCATATTATCCATATCTGATCAAAATATTTAAATTCTTTTTACATTTGACAAACAATTTCATGTTACAATAAATATTATTCAAACTATCAATAGGTCAATATTAATTTTTCAAAAGTTTAATAATGGACACGAATCACTATTTTTACAGCACATAAACTATTCGATTGTTGTGTTTATAAAAATTTAGAAATATGATAAATATTTAAAAATATTAACGGATAGACATTTAAATAATATTTATTTTTATAAAAAATGAAATAAATACCCATCCGGTCGGACGGGTCCAGCTCTAGTATATATTAAATTTGGAATTTATCCTTTTTTGGACAATTTTGGAATTTATCTTCTTGTCACAATAATTTATAGGATTTACGGTCCATAGTATGTAATTAATTACATTCTGTGCAAGAAACTAAAGAACTACATTTGACAATCTTATCAGAGTAGTATAATCATCTTATCCTATCTACATATTATGAAAATTGCAACTTAAATAGAGTATGAATTAGGGTCGTAATTTATCGGACACACAAAGATCATTGAAATGACTAATGAAGTATTATAATTAGTCATAATTAGTTCTTATATTTTATAAATTGCAACTTAAATAGAGTATGAATTAGGGTCGTAATTTATCGGACACACATGCTTAAAATTTTAATTACAAATCCGTGCGGCCGCGTTTCGCCATAATTAGTTCTTATATTTTATAAATTGATATTATATTTTTATGATTAGTATTATATATTTTAGATATGTCATAATCTATATAACTAATTGTATTCAAAAGATTCAGATCCTATCAGATAATATAGTTATTTTGGTATAAATATCCGAATCTGGTTCAGATACATTAATTATTTAGATATTTTTAGGTTTGTATACATCATATTCGAATTCATCAAGACTCGGAAAAATATCACTCAAAATCTACCCAAAAATTTATAATACTAGAGTGGACATAATTTCAAAACCCAAAAGATCCATACCCGGAAAAATATTTGTACCTAAATGTATATCCAGATGTCCATATCTGACTAATTTTGTAAGCAAATAAAAAAAACTCTATATTAACTGTTTTGAATTCTTGTCATGAGTAAATACAATTAAACTTGTTCAATTAATAGGATTAAGATGTTAAATAAATGATCTTAATATAAATGATCTTGTCATGAATAAAAATAATTAATGAATTAGTTAGAAGTAACAAATGAATGTAAAAATGTAATAAATATTTTAAAATGATAATTAATGTTTTGAAATTCTGTAGTAAAGGTTGTCGAAATATTTGAAAAATACAATTAATAAAGTGGTTAAAATGTATGAGAAAAGAAAATAATAATTGTAAAGCACTTAAATTTAAGAAACTATTGTTTTGTATTTTAGTTTTATTAGAATAGATAAATATGTACGCAAACAAATATCATTAACTTCTTTTCAACAAAGTGATTCTAGCTGTTGTAAGAAGTTAATAGTCAAAATAATTTGTTTCACGAGTTTTAATTCAAAGGAAGAAGTTAATATGTTTTACTATGAGTCTGGTAAATTAGTAATTTTCTAAACTCAAAGACTAATCTCATGAGATCCATAATAATTCAGATTTTCTTGTTAGTGAAGGCGTCCATAAACTCAGAACAAAAATTCTAGTTGAAATTCTTTTATTGCTAAACTAAGGCGATTTGGTTTATTACGAGTCTATGGTAAATTAGTAGTTTCTGTTTGCTTCTAGTAGTGGAATTTTATGTAATTGATATGTATGATCACTAGATTTAAACTCGAGGAATAGCTGTGTGAGTTGTTGACAAAGGTTAGCTATTTTTCATTATTATTTACAAAGTTCAGATACAAATATAGGTCATTCCGTTTGAATCTTGACTTTTGTTTAAATATAAGAGACTGTATGTGACGCCATCATACATACAGCAGTTACTAGAGAAACATCAGCTATAAGTAATTTATCTATTGTCTAACTAAACCATTACAACATCTTATATTTTTTTTGGATACAAGCTATGATTAAGGCTATGAATGGGGAACGGACCAAAGACGGTTCCTACACTTAAAGTGGTACGTCCGCAATTTCTTTCCTATTCACAAAATAAAAACAATCCACTTGTGGTTCTTAATAAAATAAGGTAAACAATAAAACAGTTTAGTTTTGTGAAGGAAAACCGTGATCCGCTAGTAAAAGTAATTCCACTTCACATTTGAAGTGTACAAAGTGGTTCTGCCTTTGAAAACTATAAATTACAATATAGATATTTAATTTGTTATAGCTATAAAATGTTTTTAATTCATTATTTCTCTACCAATATATATTACATATGTTTTATGTGAAAAAACAAATTTATAATTTATCCTAGTTTAAGACTTTTATATAATACTTATCTATTATTTCTCATGTTTTCCTTTATCTTAAATACATACTATTAGAAGTCTTATAAACTAAATTTAGACAACAAAGACAAATAACATAATAGACTAAATCAGTAAAGATAAATTGATCTAATAAATTTATAATAATACTTATATAAATTATTATAAAATAAAAATAATATATATATATTTTTTATGTATTACATTTATAAATTAATAAAAATACTTTAAATTATGCAAATAATTAATAATATAGCATTTTATATAAATTATTTTGTAATTTTTATAGTATCTGGAACCGCCTTTTATCCACTTTCACCATTCAAACATATATTTCAGATTGCTAGAACCGCTCGATCCATATTTGTACCGCTAGATCCGCTAAATTCACTTTTGCTCCACTCGATCCACTTGATCCGCTAGATTCGCAATGCTTGATTCGTTTTTCCCATTCGGAACCTAAAAAAAAAAATAATACTATGTTGTTAAACTATAAGTAGACTGACTTGATTTGTAAATGACGTCTACCAAATTTATTAAGATTTTAAAACACATCCAAGTTAGATGAACAATCCACATCGTTATAGTCATCAATCATTTTCATGTCAAATTTTAATTAAAGATGTGATGTATGACACTCTCATTACATTATATGAATGTGCACGCACACGTCATTCCACCATAAGGTCAAATGGCCCACGAATATAAAGCCCAAGTCCATCATAGTTATTAGCAATATAGATATTTATTAATTTGTTCTATCTTCGTGGGCTTATAAAAGGAACATATTAAAAGTACTGATGAAAGACCATAGAAAACTTAATAATACATGAATTCCAAAAAATAGTTATAAAATGAATACCAACGTAGTTAAAAAAAATGAATACCAACAAACAACGAAGTCACAAATACTAAAAAAAATGGTATATTCAAAAATACAACCTTTTAATCTCGATTTTCAAATATTAGAACGAAATTATGTATCACTCTTCACATGGAATGACAAACAAGCAACAACAATATTCGTTAGCTTTACTGTCAGCTTTTTCAGGCAACGTATATAAATATATTATATCATATATAGTTTGAGTACTGTTACATTACAAATGCATTTGATTTCACCTCCTCATGCCTCAAGCCATGAATGAAACCTTAAAACTCATGTTCAGTTCTGGAGTAACGCTTATGTCAGCAATCTGTCAGAATGATTAGTTTAGTAAAA